CGAACCAGCAATGACCGTATTGATACACTCGTACAGCAGAGACATCGCCGACGTGCTAAAACAGTTCTTCTTCAAAGTAACATTTCGAAGAAAAAATTTCTGCGGAAGATTCATCCAGCAACACGTGGCTACTCAGAAGCAAACAAACCTGTTAATTAGATTGGTGAGAGGTTCCAGCAATTTTTTGCCAAGACGCGGCTCCAACGGTACCAGAGCACCAAACTACAAAAGAACTGTCTTAAAAATATCTTTAAAAAGTATCTTTTTTTGGCCATTGCCTTTGCCAAAAAAAGACTGCTTTTCGACCCAACAAAAATACTACAAATTCATTGATAAGCTGCAATTTTTAAAGCTATTTACCCATGGAAACAGTGATTCCTGCCTTTCCATGCGTAACGAGGAACGTTGCGCGTATTCTGGGGTAACAGTGCCCTTGTAGTGATAACAACTCATGCAATCACTTCAGTTGTACATTTGTACTTTTTTATGCGTTTTGTGCTGTGTAACAGCAGTACAAAACGCATATTGTTACGGGTTGTCTGCGTGTGTGTTTGTATGCGTTTGTGTCCGCAGCAACTTGTCCGCAACTTTCAACTCGGGAACCACAAAAGCTAGGAAGCTGGAAATTTAGGGTAACGTTTCCCGCAGCAACTTGTCCGCAACTTTCAACTCGGGAACCACAAAAGCTATGAAGCTGAAAATTTAACGCAGCAACTTGTCCGCAACTTTCAACTCGGGAACCACAAAAGCTAGGAAGCTGAAAATTTAAGGGGTGTCCGCAACTTTCAACTCGAGAACCACAAAAGCTAGGAAGCTGAAAATTTAGGGTAATGTTCCCCACCCACGTGTGACTGTCCGCAACTTTCAACTCGGGAACCACAAAAGCTAGGAAGCTGAAAATTTAGGGTAACGTTGCCCACCCACGTGTGACCCCGCAAATTTAAATTCAGCTTCCCCGTGCCCGCGGGTAACGCGTACGGCCCTGTGAAAGTTTTTTACGGGTTAGTTAATATCTCAGGAACCACAGAGTCTAGGAGGCTGAAATTTTAGGATAATGACCTACTGCCCATGTTCAATCTTGCCCAATCAAAATCAGCCTTCCCTTACCCACGGGTAATACGTACGGCCCCGTGAAAGTTTTCGGGTAAGTTAATATCTCGGGAACCTCGGAGTCTAGGAGGCTGAAGTTTTACGGCAGTGACCCCCTTTCCACCCTCAACCTTGCCCATTCAAAAATTCAGCCTTCCCTTACCCGCGGGTAAAACGTGCGGCCCCGTGAAAGTTATTCACTGGTAAGTTAATATCTCGGGAACCACGGAGTCTAGAAGGCTGAAATTTAAGATTAATGACCCCTTGCCCACGCTCAACCTTGCCTTCTCAAATTTAGCCTTCTCGTGCTCTCGGTTACCACCTACGTCCTCTTGAAAATTTTGGTGGGCAAACTATTAACTCGGGAATTACGGAAAGATATTCATCT